GGGGTGTGGGTGTGAGTGTGGGTGGGGTGTGGGTGTGGGTGTGTAGGTGTGGGTGTGGGTGGGTGGATGTGAGTGTGGGTGTGGGTGGGGTGTGGGTGTGGGTGTGTGGGTGTGGGTGTGGGTGGGTGGATGTAAGTGTGGGTGTGGGTGTGATTCTTCTATTTATCTACACCCACACCCACACCCACACCCTCACACACACACCCACACCCACACACTCACCCACTCACCCACCCACCCCCACGCCCACACCAACACACACCCACACACACTCACACCCACACCCACACACCCACACACACACCCACACCCACACACCCACACCCCACCCACACTCACACCCACACCCACTCACACCCACACCCACTCACACCCACACCCGCTAGCAACTTTCTTCTACGATATTTGCCGACTGATGCGGCTATTACAAATAATAGTCTTATAACAAGATTGTCGAATTTTGCTTCTTCTTTAACTTTCATCTTTAATACGAATCAGACAACCTTGATCTCAACATGGGCAAGAAGAAAAGCAGAGGAATACAAGTTCAATTTTCAGTTGTCCATTCAATAAAAGTTTAGCATCACGATGTGCATTGATTTTGATGATCTGATGCTGTTTCACAACATTCAAGATTATTGTGATTAACACTTTGATAAATCACATGAGAGTTTCTATAGTAGGCAAGACAACATATTGTTCGATAATTTAATTTTATTCTCGATCTTGATTAATGAACAAAGAAAAAGAAAAACTGAAAAAACTAGAATCAATTATATTGTCTTTTAGGCTGATGAGGTTACGATTGACCAATTACTTCGTAACTTTAACTCTATCACCTGGTTTCAAGTCAGCTCTATCTTTTTGATTCAAAATTATACACCCGCGACTTGCTGATTTGTCTCCTTTTCCGTTGTCACCATGAATTTGGAAACCGGATCGCCCATACATGTTGTTTGATGGATCTGGGGCCAAATTACATCGTTCGCCAACTTTGGCACAACTATTTTCAATCGTGAAGCCTCCTTGGGGAGTGGAACCTAAATTTGCTTTTGTTTGATCTGTCTCGCCCTTATATCCGCTGTAGGATTGTACACATTGACCGGTTTTATCATTACAAAACTTGCCTGTAGATTGAGAATAAGTATACGACTTGCTCATTTCTAAAATTAAAGATTTTCTATTGTTAAACCTTACGTTAATTAGCATATTTCATAAGATCATTTTCAGTTTCTTATGGTGGGTTATTCTATGTGCGCTCGTTAGAAATACGTACTTCAGTAGTAGGAAATTTTTTTATGTGGTATGCTTCGTCTTTTGAAAAATATGAACAGGTACTGACAATGCTGCAATAATTATATAGGAGCAAGATGGTTGGAATTTTCCAACATATTTTATTAACAGGAGGAGAAAAACGAATATTGCGCCACTAGTGTGAACTGCGTAGCAGTGTCAAAGTTGTTGATTTAATGAATAAAACACTGTACGTTGACTAATCAATAGTTGTGTGTGTCATCAATGGTTGAGTGCAGAAAGCGAGGGTATCGGGTGCAGTATTCAATTTTTCTACATTCACACTATCTAATCGATAAACAACTGCATGTTGTACAATAGTTGGCAATAACTAGCTTTGAACAGAAACATGTTGGTACTAATGAGCACCTAGCTGTATTATAACATCTATCATTTAGGAATGAAGGAAGAATAGGCCCTAAAACTTAAGTGGAACTAAGATGAAAATCGAACGCATATAAATACGAAAATAATCAGGATATAAATGGTTACGTAAAGTAAAAGAAAGGAAGAAGGAAGACAGGATTTGGGTGTGAGATGAGAATGTTGGTGTGTGGGGTCTGATTATGGTTCCTGCCGAGTGTAGTAACAGAGCAGACATGTATACCTTTATATTTACAGCCACAATCTCTATTGTAGGTTTAGGTCTTCTTCACTGTCATTGGCTTGGGTGTGGGTGTGGGTG